TGGGAGCTGGAAGACTGCCACAGGGGTGAGGGAGCAAAAGTCAACACTCCCACTCCCTCCTCCACCAGGCCCTGAATCCCTCAGGGGTTAGATTCTGCCAAAACCTTTCTCTCCCTGTTCTGCTCCACAACTTCTTGCTGTGTGACCTCCAGTAAGGGCGGCTCTGGTACCTTTCCCACACATTTCACCTGGGCTGTGCTTCTTCCTCGCAACTTACTCTTCTGTCTAGGGTGATCTCGTCACCAATGACTGAGGTCGGCCTTTCGTCCCTGTTCCCTTCTGGTACGTGGTTTATGCAATTCTAATTATTGGACGGTGTTTAATAGAGGTTAAAACTACCAAATACTATGCCAAAATGAAGTAAAGCATTCTAAGCATTTATAAAACAATATTAATACTGAGACAGGAGATCGTGATGGTCTCATATTCATGTATAATATGTAAATTATAAAGTTAAACACATTTTTGATATAATTTTTGAATTGGAACAGTACATGTCTACATAAACCCATATCATATTTATTTATTTTTTATTATCCCCCAGATTTTCTTTTCTCTTCACAATAAAATATTTCTAACTTTCAAAAAATTATCAAGTGTTTCATAAACAAACTTTGATTCGACAACCTTAATTGTGAAAATTCAAGTGGTCACAGGAGGAAGGGAATCTTACGTCACAAGCTCTTCTCGCTGGAATAAACTGAAGAATTCTCATGTATCATGGATTTCCGCTTCAGATCTAGATCTAATTACTCCCTTTTTTCCCTCTTTCCTGCTGTAGCAAACATCCACCAAAAACACATAGAACATTTCATGATGATGAATATAGCAGTGGCCACACAGGCCAGAAGGAACCCAAGCACATCCAGAGAGTGGTACTGGAACCAGGTGAGGTCGTGGGCTGCAACCCGAAGGTGTTTGGCTCCTTTGTGGCGCATGACAAACTCGACCCAGAAGACTGCTCGATCCAGGGGCTTCATTGGCTGATCATGGTGAATTCTTGATAATTTCATAGCATTCTCTTTATACCTGGAAAAAAAGTCATAAATATTCCAACTTTGAAAGTAAGCTTATTGGCTACCCACATCAAATTCATGAATGGTTTTGGAAAAGTGTCATCCAAATGACTCAAGGGAAATGTCACAATATTGACATAGAATTTGAATGTTTTGGGTCATCATAGCCAGTTTGATTTTTAAATTGGAATTTTATCATTAAAAATATTTTTAAAAGGGAAAATGAAAGGTCAGGTGCAAATGTTAGTATCTTTCTAGTAGAAAAAATATTATGAGGTATTCCACATACTGTAAGTAAAATAGTGGAAATACAATCTGAGAATGATCATCTTGATGTTTTCAAAGGCAATTGTGTCTTGCTGGTGGAAATGCCTCCTGAGAAGTCTCTCTGCTTCTATTCTTTTTTCTCTTCTACTCTCTGTTTCCTATCCAGTACCCAGAAAGAATTTCTGTGAAACAAGTGTCATATTATGACACTCAGAGAACAAGACTTCCACCTGGATTCTCGTAACATTAAGAATCTGTTCTGTATTCTACATGACCCTACATTGTCAGTCCTGGAACATCTAACTCTTTCCCATCCACATTCTCTTCCAGGGAAGTTGTCCTTCTGTTGTCCTTTTAGCTACCACGTGTGGACTCGCCTTACCACCTTTAAACGTTTTGTCCCCTCTCTCCCTAACTTGGAACATTCTTCACTGACACAACACAGTGCTTGCTTCATCTCTTTTTGAGGCTTCCCCTTAAATGCTGACTCTCACACAGGCTTCTCCTGGTATGGTAGCACCCCTAGGATTTCCTCTATTTTAGTGCGCTTATTTTTCATTTGATCTTAGAGTTTTAAAATGTGTTGTATATCATCTTAAAGAAAGCTTTAAATAGGAAATTGAAAAGATAAATGTACATACTCTAAGCAAACAGCTCAAATGTTAAATTTAACTAAAAATTATGTAGATGCCAACGTACCTATTGCCCAGATCACAATATGTGGTATCGCACCTGCTCAGTAGTATCCCCTTTTCTTAGATAAGTTTAGTCACTACTCTCACCCTCAAATTAAGTATGACCCTGACTCTAACACCATAAATTAGCTTTCTTTATTTATATCACTAAGTCATATAGTGTCTTTTTATAGCAGTTGTTTCTTAATTTTATGACTGTGTAGTATCCCCTTGATTGACAATGGCTACAGATTATTTCTTACTATTATTTTTGATAGATATTTATTTTGTTCATGTTTTTGGACACTACTAATAATTCTGGTATACATATTCTAGTGTATGTATCATCAGGTTTATATATTCATATGTTTCTGCTTATATATTTGGGTGAGGCATTTCTGGGACAAGGGTGTCTGTATAATTATGATATTTTGTTGACTCTGAATTGTATGAAAGCATATTTTTAATTACTGAATATAAAATTTTTAATTATCATTTCTTTGACTATTTTTAAGTCATATGTATGGTGTGGCTAGATCATATATCTTTATGATTCTGAATCTTGAAATATTTACTGAGTTGTGATCTATATGGTCAACTCAGGTAACTATTTTATATATTCTTGACAAATGTGTATTTCCAGTTTATACACACATACACACAAGAGCATACATGTGTATATATGTAGTACATATATATGCTATACATAAATATCTAAACATCTGTCACATATATTACATTTTTATATTATGTTCTTCAAATGCTCATGTCCTGAATCATTATTTTGTCTGTTTAGATTTTATATTAATACAAGTACTGGTGTATTTGCATTTATTTATGACATCTCATTCCGTATTTTCTCTTCTATTTTCCAACCTGTTGTATGTTTATTTTCCAGTTTTTTGTTATCTTTTTAACGTATTCTTATTACTTGGTGTTTACTATTTCTTAAAGTATTCCTTTAGGTGATACCTCTTTATATAACAATATTATGGAGAGTAGTAATAAATACTGAATTGGTAGTGGCTGGTCTAGCCATAACATTTTCCAAATTATTGCCTGTAACTAGGAACAATTAATATAATATTTATTTTATCAAATTAAAAATTTGTGCGTCAAACGGGGTATCATTAAGAATGTAGTAAAAATGGTGGAAATACAATTGAGATGATCATCTTCGATGTTTCAAAGGCAATGTGTCTTGCTGTCTAAATCAACCCATTTAGAATGGAAGAAAATATTTAAAAATCATATATCTGGCTCTTGTGTGTGCTCTGGCTGTATTTCCAGCACTCTGGGAGGCCAAGGCGGGCGGTTCATTGAAATCGTAGGTCAAGACCAGCCGAGCAAGAGCAAGACTCTGTCTCTATTAAAACATTAAATAGAATTAGCTGGACAACTAAATATAACATAAAAATTAGCAGAGCATGGGTGGCACATGCTGTAGTCCAACTACATGGGAGGTTTATGCAGTATGATTGCTTGAGCCCAGAGTTGAGGTTGCAGTGATTAAGCTGATACCATGGCACTGTAGCCTGGGCAACAGAGTAAGTCTGTCTCAAAATAAATAAATAAATAAATACATAAAATAAAAGATATATCTGATAAGGGATTTATCACAATAATAAGTTTTAAACTCATTAATAAAATATTAAAATCAACAAGTGTCAGAAATATTGAAATAGAACTTCTCCCAAGAAGATTGTGAAAGACCAGTAACACAGGAAGAGACGCTCAATATTTTTAGCTGTAAAGAAAACACATCAAGACTGATGAGAGGCTACTTTACACCGACTATAATGACTATAAATAAAAGACAGATGAGAAGTGTTGGAAACCGTATGAAGAAAAACCCTCCTATACTGCTGTTAGTAATGAAAACTGGTGCCTGTAACTGGACAACGATTTGTCAGTATTTTTCATAAACAAATTTGCCATAGGGGACTGCAATTCCAGTAGTTATTTCTACTGCCATAATATAAAAAACATATTTTCACACAAAAACGTGCATAACAATGTTATGATTGGAATAAACAAAATATCCCTGAGCTGCTAACGGGATGGATTAATTATGGTATATTCATCTACCAAAGGATACCATACAGCAATAAGAGGGAACAAAATACTGATACCTGCCACGACATGGATAAAACTAAAAACAATTATGCCTAGTGAAAATAACTATTTACAAAATGCCATTAATTGTATGACTCCATTGATGTTAGATTTCTAGAAAGAATAATCCAAAAATGAATTGGTATTTACCTGGGGTTAGGGACTTATTGGAAAAGATAGCTATGCCCTATGAAGTTTCTTTGGGGTTGATAAAAAAAGTTCTAAAATTATATTATGGTGACGGCTTCATGATTCTTTAAAGATATATTTATATTTTATACTCTAAATATATTTATATTTTATACTCTAAATAGCTGAATTTTATGCATTGTAAATTATATCCCATTATCAAAACCATTAAAGTAATGATAATATCAAAGTAAATTTGGGGGAAAGCAAAAAGGAACACAGGTTCTGGATCATGGAGCTGAGTCAACAGGATGCCCCGTTGTCTCTTTTATGTCACCCTCCCACCATCTCATGCCTGTCCAGCAGGAGCTCTCGCTCTTACTGATGACCCACCTGGTTAAAATGTCTACACTACCCAAAGTGATCTGCAGATTCAGTGCCACATCACAAGATTATTTTTCACAGATATAGAAACAATAATTTTACACTTTGTATGGGCCCAGGAAGAACCCATATAGCAAAAGCAATCGTAAGCAATAAAAAAAATGGGAGGTATCAATTTACCAGGCTTCAAACTATACTACAAGGCTATATTACTTTAAAAAGGTTTGCACTGGCACAAGAACAAGGACATTGACCAGTGGAACAGAACAGAGAACCCAGATATAAAACCATCCCCATATAGCCATCTAATCTTTGACAAAACAGACAAAAACATACACTGGGGAAAAGAATCCTTATTCAATAAATCATTCTGGGATAACTGGAAAGCCACATGTAGAAGACTGAAACAGGATCCACACTTTTCACCTCTCACAAAAATCCACTTATGCTGGGTAACAGACTTAAACTTAAGGTGTGAAACTATTAGACATTGGTCTAGGCAAAGAATCTAAGAAGAAGACCCCAAAGGCAATCACAGCAATAACAAAATTAAATAAATGGGACCTGATCATATTTAAAAGCTTCTGCACAACCAAAGAATCTCACGAGAGCAAACAGGCAACCTATAGAATGGGAGAAAATTTTTGCATGCTACACGTCCAATAAGGGACTGATAACTAGAATCTATTTAGAACTCTGGAAAATCAGGAAGAAAAAAAATCAAACAACCCAATTAAAAAGTGGACAAAGGACATGAACAGAAACTTTTCTAAAAATAAGACAGAATAATAGCTAACAAACATATGAAAAAATGCTCAACATCTCTAATATTCAGAGAAATGCAAATCAAAATCACAATGAGATATCACTTATCTCCAGTGAGAATGGCCTTTATCAAAAAGTCTCAAAAGAATAAATGATGGTGAGGATGTGGAGAGATAGGAACACTCTTACATTGGTGGTGGGATTGCAAACTAGTTCAACCTCTGTGGAAAGCAATATGGAGATACCTTAAAAAGATACAAGTAGGTCTACCATTTGATCCAACAATCCACTACTGGGCATCTTCCCAAAAGAACAAAAGACATTCTATAAAAAAGACATCTGCACTCATATGTTTATACCAACACAATTCACAATTGCAAAGATGTGGAAACAACCAAGTGCACATCGATCCATGAGTGGATTAATAATATGTGGTATATGTGTACCATGGACTACAATTCAGGTATAAGAAACAATACAAGCACCTCTTGTATTTCACTGGATAGAGCTGAAACTTATTCTACTAAGTGAAGTATACCAAAATTGGAAAAATAAACACCTCACGTACTCACCAGCAAAGTGATTTCACTGATCAACACCTAAGTGCACATATAGGAATAACATTCATTGGGTGTCGAGCAGATGGGAGGGTGGAGGAGGGGATGGGAATAAACATATATAATGAGTGTGATGTGCACCGTCTGGGGGATGGACAGGCTTGAAGCTCTGAACCGAGGGGTGCGGGGGAACAAGGGCAGCATACGTAACCTAAACATTTGTACCCCCATAAAATACTGAAGTAAAAATATAAACAAAAAAGTTAAAGTAATACATTCAGAAATTTTAGGAATTGAGTTAAAATATTTTATCATATTTCTAAGTTAATTACTTCTTTTAAATGTGAATTTCTGTCTTTCTTTTTTAAATTCATCTTTTTTTATACTTCACTATATACCAGAAGTTATTTTTATGTAGAAGAGTTTTGCACTATTTGTTAACTCATTAAATTTATAGAGTTCAATGCATCTCAGAAAAAAGAGTCTACTGGAAATAAAAGCAGATTTCACAGTGGTTATATAATTTAAATTCTTTGAATAATAATCTACTGAAAAAGGGATGAATCTCATCCTCCTCGTTGACAAGAGAACCTAGCAAAAATAAATACCACCTAGCAAAAAAATAAATATACTCACATAGGTTCATTAATGACTGTCCTCAAGGCACTGAGCAAATCTGCACTTGACATTGTGTTGAAGTCCACTCTAACAGCTGCTCTCTTGGCCTTCATGTGAGCAATGTTGTCTGGTTGATCCGCAAACAAAGGGATGCCCACCATGGGGACCCCGTGGTAGATGGCCTCATAGATGCCATTGGCTCCACCATGAGTTACAAAAGCCTTGGTTTTTGTGTGACCTAGAATTGGGTGAATATCAAAGAAATTATTGATTATGCATCTTAGGAATAAAATGAGAAAAGGACAATACAGGACACTGAAAGTTGTAATGTTTTCTAGGTAACAGGTTAGAACACCCAGACACTGCCCTGAAATTGCTGTCAGATTTCAGAGGAGGAAGCACCTACTGTTGCTGGAGAGGAAAGTGAGGCCTGCATGGAAGAAATGGTGTGGGACTCGAGAATGGAAAAATGAATACGAGATTAGCAAGCAGAGAATGAAAAGACACATTTTGAGTAAAAGAATTAAATGTGTGAAATATAAAAAAAAAGAAGAAAAGGAAAAGATTGGGCATGTATTAATAAAACACGTTCTCTGAAAGCAACATGCAGTCAGGGAGTCTGACATGTGAGTGCCCAGGGCACAGGGAGAGTGCTGGGAGCAGGGCTGGGGTCAGAGGAAGGACAGGCCACGCTTCCCTGTGGACGTGTCGACACAGTGTAGTAAAGCCTGGGATTTATTCCCATAGAAAATGCAGAGTCACCGGTAATAGAAGAACAACTGTTCTTTTTAAGTGCCATGTGGAATAACCTTGGAGTAGGGAGTACAGGGGTGAAGTTGTAGAAATAGGAGACAGACAGACAACCCAGGGCGCTATGGAAAATTATCTGAGAATCAGTTACATCTCATATAAGGATACTTTGTTTTTGGAAATAAAGAATATGAATGCATACAACAAAATGGCAACTGTTGTAGTTTATTCTTCCCCCCCAGGGCTTGAAAATAAATATAAATATAGTTAGGTTTATTTTTGAGTTTTCAACAATAAATATTCCATATGTTAGTTGCTGTTGACCTACTATCACTCTAATTGGCTGTTAGTCACATATTCAGTATTTTTTCTCCAGTATCTCACCTAGAAGGTCATTCTGGGGCAACCACTTGTACAGCCGAGTATTGGGTCCCAAGGTGTCTGGTTTCTTGCCATGAAATCTCCATAGAACCTGTTGGGTAAAGAAAATATCTTGTTTCATGGGTGTAACTCCAAAGTTATGGCACGGTAAAACTCTAAAGGGGATATCAACCATCTAGTTAAATCCCCTCCATACAAAAGATGAAGAAATGAGAACAAAGTTCTTAAGTAACGAGGACTACTGAAACTCTGAGATAAAATAGAATAACCAGATTGCATGTGCTTATGATTAGAATCACTTTGGTATATAAGAATTTTAAGTAACTTTGATGAATGGTACTTTCAATGCTAAATTCAAGTATTGAATAAATAGACAATGTATATATAAAACACATACATCAATAATGATCTTTCCATTGATTTTATTTGCCTATTTTCTATTAGCTGACATCTTCTAAATTTAATAATATTCTGTTTATTTCTTCTTTTAAATGTTTATATTTAATTAGCTTGGACACTTAATTGTTTTGCATATGTATACATGATGTCTTCATAGATGCATAGAATGTGTAACACTTAAATCATAGTAATTGTGGTATCTATCACCTGAAGCATTTGAGTAATATGAGTAGTAGTTCATTTATATCTACGTTTTACATACGTAATTTCTTTACAGTTGACATCACGTGAGTTATAAAAATAATCTGTATGATGAGCTGCTTGTAAGAAAGATAGCCATGCTGCATTGTTAGTATGCATGACCACTGTTAGGTAGAATTTATTAAGCACAGCTTCCAAGAAAAAGTTTAAGTGGCAATTTTTGAGAAATATTCATAGTGTTACAGCTATTTCTAGTTTCGGAATTCTTTCACTGTAGAAAAAAGTGCTGGTGGTCAATTGATGAATACCAACACAGCTGTTAAAAAGTCCAAAATTATATTTTGCTGTATTTTACTTAACAGATCATTAACACTTAGATAATAGGCTACAGCAGTGATTCATATGGTCTGCTGTAACTAAGCCATTTCCATGCCCGGTACCAAAATAAGTTTATTGTAGAATTTCCAGGCAATCCTTTTAAACTTCAATAAAATTTAGAAACGTTTACCTTCCAGTTGCTATTTTAGTGTTGAAGACTATGGAGTTTTCAGCAAAAAAGTAGCACAGGTCATTAGGAGAAATCTATGTCAGACAGAAAACTTAAAAACTAATTCACAATACACATAGTCTGCAACTGCATTTTGTATATTATTAGTGGGCAATACTTGCCTACTACATCTTATGGAAGGGGCCTCTGAATCTCTTCCCATTCCTGCCTTCATTCTGATTGAGTTCTTCCCTTATTCCATTCTCCTTCCTCAATCCAAAGGAGGTGTTTGTCTAGTGGTTTGGTCAGAGTCTTGTGGGGCCACGTTTTATAATGCACAGGTTCTACTGCTAGGGCAGGATCCCATCTGCATCTTCAAATTACATCCAGACCTGTCCAGCAAGGCAGGTAGTTTTTCTTTCTGTAATTCAACTTGGCTGGGTGGGTACCTGGAGTAGTGATTTCTCAGCCCAATTATTTTTTCTCTGAATAGAACCCTGACCGCACACCAAATAGGCTTTTTCCACATTTATAGGAGTTACAAAAGGGCAGATCGCATGGGAAGCCTAAGCTGCAATACATTGCAGACTTTTATTAATACTTGCTTCTTGTTATTGTGCTAGTGCAGACACTCACTAAAATTGAACTCGTATCTGATAATATGTGTAATGTATATAGTGCCCTCAGGAAGTCTGTCACAATAGGATTAAATGACAGGTAAAATTTGGTGATTTGTGTTTACATGCTTTCAATACCATGATATTCAATAATACCAAAACTACCCTACACTTTTTCAGTATATTTGTTATTATCACACTGTTAATGTCAAAGTTAGCACAAGTGAAACCCTCCTCTTTACTATCATAGCATCTTCCATATATAGTTAAGTTTTTGAGATGATATCTGACTTAAGTGGAGCTATACTAACAGTTAACACTTTTGACAGAAATTTTCTGCCCCTGTACTCTTTACAAAGTTGAGCAGAGGGATTCCGTAGCTGTCCACCATTAGGCGCTTTCTCCAACCTTCTGTGGGATCTGGGCAAGGGCTGAAGCGATCACATTGGCCCTTTCTTCTGTCATGTTACGGATCATCGACCCCAGAGAAAACACCACAACGCCATTTTCTCCAGAGCTCTGGACAAAGTCTTCCATCTCCTGTGAAGAAAGAATGTGTTCCGTCACAAACGGGTGTCAGTGTAAGAAACACATTTGAAAAGATTGTTAAAAACATCTAAGAAGAGAAAAGCAGGTATTGTCAAGAATTAGTAGAGCAACAGTGATTTTTTAACTAAGGTAATCACTTGGTTTATTTGGAAAGTAAGGTGCAGGGTGAGATAGATGGCTTCTATTGTGGGTATTTGTGCAAATATGTGTTTGCATGTGTATGCATGTGTGTGGAAGAAATGAAGTAGAGCTATTACAATATAGTTGGGAGAGATAGTGCTAGAAAATACTATACCCAGAATGTTAAACTATATTATTGTATTTACTATTATAATTTACTTTTCAAAGAGGGCTTCACTTGGCTTTAATTCTCTATGGTTATAGTTCTAAATCATTTTTGTTCATTTCAGGCATTTTTCTATAATATTTTCTGGTTTGGAGCCCTTGGAGTCATTCTCTAATTATTACCAGGAGGCCATCTTACTAAGAGTTGGGATGATTTTATATCCACATTTCTTCAGGTCTATAATCTTTTCTCCTTCACTTCAAGTGTGTCAGAATTTCCCAGTCTTTTCCCACACACGCACACAGACAGTAGGTGAAGGTTAATAGTCACTGACATGCTGGATTATGATATTGTGGTTTAGAATTTTAGTGAAATAGTCCCAAGGGAGCGATTGATACATAGAATTAGATGGCATATAGGTACATAGTTGAATGATATTTCGTAGGTCATTGTTTAGGTATGAGACACTTTTTATCCTGAAATTACACTTGAAATTGCTGTGCTATTTATAACTGCCAGGGAGGGACTGTCCTTGTCCTCACACTGTGTCCCACGGAGAGCAGCTTTGTCACAGGGGAGAGAACAGCAGGCCTCGCTGTCGTGGAGATCTGGTCGCTCTCCTGAGTAGCTCACTCACAGTGTGTAAAATTCTTGGTGAATATGAGCTTGCTTGGACTTGATTGAGAATGATTTTCACTTGTGTTTTCCATTCTTTGCCAATTTTTGAATATTAATATATTCTACATAGGAATATTCTAAACCATTCAATGTATTCTCCCACCAAGGAAAATCAAACAACCAACCCCCTCTACCCTCCACAAAAAAAGGAAAGAGGTGAAAGATCAAATAAATGCAGAACCAAGTGTGTCCTGGGCATCACATCCAAATTACATCCTCTGTTTGTTGCTGTTCCTTTCTTATTAAATTCATTGTTTCTTTCTGCAAAATAATGATCAATATTTTTCTACATCACAGGTAAACTTTCATATGTTAATCCTTGGGGTGAACTCTCTATTTAAAACAGCTGTTTACAGAAAGAAGAGTTTTAATCAGTGACATCAGTTTTAAGAGGAGAATCACTGTACTTTAAACACTCTTCCATGTAATACATGGGGCATCCAGGTATTCTGTTTGATTCAGTTACCTGAAGACAGATTTCATGTAACTTGTGTTCGATGTTTTGTCTCACTGGCTGACTGCCTATAAAAACCTTCATTTATTCACTATGAAGTAATACAATCTCTCTTTACAGATTCATTACGGATCTCATTCTGTGACTCCTTTATACAAATAATACAATATCAATATAAGAAATTTTGTAATAGTATAAAAAATGAAAACAAAAAGATATTGAGTTTCATCCATACTCTCTGTCCAGACATATTCCCAATTAAAATTGTTCATGTGATTTCATTATGATATTTATTCTGTTTATATGACTCAGGGTATTTATGTGATATATGTTTAGAAAATTTTAATCTTTTTTTCATTCTTTGATAATTTTGTTTTATTTATTTTTTCTATTTTTTTAATTTTTTTAAATTTAAGCATTTTAAGGGGGTACAAATGTTTAGGTTACCTGTGTTTCCTTTCCCCCACTTCCCCTCTGGGGTCAGAACTTCAAGAGTATCTTACTGTATATAAATTGAAATCAGAGAAAACTTTGTGATCTTGTTCTCTTCATCATTTTGCCCCTCATTTTCCAACAAAACTTGCATTATGGTTGATTAATTAATTTTTGGTAAAATTATTGTGGTAATATGGTATGAACAGAGTATCAGTTTTTAGTCTTTTTAAATATAAGATATTTAAATTACTTGGAGTATTTTATGAATATCTGCCAGAAATATTGTATCTGCCATCTTGATTTATTTTTTGTTCCTATAGTTTCACACATGTATACTTTGAAACCAACAAATACATGCATTTTTAAAATGCTTGATATATTTTGCCAAAAGTCTTATTCTTTTAAAATACATAAATACGAAAATGTAAGGTCACTTTTCATATACATTGGTAGAACTTATTGGTTTTTATTATATACACACTGTACATTTTCTCTGTGTTTCTCTCTTAGGCAATTCTGAGGTTGAGGCAAAAGTTTCCCCCGGCAGCTTTATTGAGGTGTCCTGTGGACTTGGCCTAAGGCAGGAAACACCTGCTCTGATAAGGTAAACCTTCCCTTTGGTGGTCTAAGATGTAAAACTCTGGGATCTCAGTGAGGAATGGTTTCAATGCTGGAGTGAAACAAGTAAACATTAAGTTTTGCTGTCAACATTTTCAGGACACCTTAACATTGGTGAGGAACGGTCTTCCTTTTAAGCTAGAACAATAGTGAAGAGCCTCAACTCTTACAATAAATGAACAAAACTAAACAAATAGGAACATGTTCACCTTAGGCAGGGGTTTGGCAGGTTTGCAGTGGAGTCCGCCAACGAAATCAAAATTTGGTAAGAATGGGCGAGGAAAATTAAAATCCCAATAGTTTCGAATAAGCCACATATCAGCTTTCTTCATTGTCTCATATAATGTAGTGGTTTTGCCTGAAAAGAAGAAAGAAAAGAAAACATAGATGACACAAGAGAATTGTCTTGAGAATATAAAAGTAATTTCCTGAAAGGAGTTGGAATAATGTAGCCAAAGATATATAAAGTGTTTGTGCTTTAATAAAACAAACTCATACACATATTGATCTATAGGCATGATTTAATTCCCATGGACCATATATGTTGCTCATAGGTTTGTATAAGAACAGCAAAGAGAATTTTTAAAGGAGATTATGTCTCTAAGATCACATCAGTATATTCACAAGCATCAGTAAGTACTAATATAAGCCACTCTGGAATTACCCATGCAGTTGCTTATTTTCTAGAGCTGCTGTACTCACAAATATGCATTTATTTGAGCTCTGCTATCAATGAATGCTATAAAACCCATAAACTTCATTGTAATAAGTACTGAATACACTTTCAACAATTTATGAAGGTAGTCTGATGATCCTTGGTTCTCCTAGTATATAAAAGAGTTTTTCTGAAAATGTGGTTGAAATCCTTTTAGGTACTACTTCTTTGGATTCATGGGAAGATATTATTAATATTATTAAGAATAAATATATAATATTTACACATGGAAGCTAGAATTCTTTTTAAATT